ACATCTGAGGCTGAGTGTATCTGACTTTAGGTTGGTGTGTGTGTGTGTGTGTGTGTGTGTGTGTGTGTGTGTGTGTGTGTGTGTGTGTGTGTGTGTGTGTGTGTGTGTGTGTGTGTGTGTGTGTGTGTGTGTGTGCTCATGTGTGAAGACGTCTATCTATCTGAGCAGCTATTTCACAGAGAAAGGATTTCTGCCTCAGTAATTGCCTCGGCTATATTTTCCCTCTCTTTCTCATTTTTCTTTAGTATCTATTTTCTCTCTGAATCCTGTCCTCTTTCCTTCTGCAGACTTCCTCTCCGGCTCTCACTCATCTTCCAATTCTCTTTTATATTCCCTCCATCTCTGAGTCCTTGACATTAACCGTGATCCTGCAGTGAGATCAATTTGGGAGACACACACTCTCTCTCACACACACTACATGCAAATGTCACACGTCTATTTAACGCCATTAAAGACCGTTTCTATTCACTGGGCTTGGAATAGACTTCCATCTTTGAAGGGACTAAGTGCTGCGATGTTTATTATAATACGTACAGAGTGCCATCTGGTTTAGAGGTCCATACTGCAAACAGGAATCAAAACAGCAGACCGTGGCAGTGTCAGCGCCATGCTCCAGTGAACTACACACAGCCGTGATGGACAGGGAGGGTGAGGGGAGGCAGGGGGAGACAGATGTATAGACGGATGGAGACGGACAGAAATAGAGAGACTCAGCGAGCCTGAAATCATACGAGTGTTTCCATTTCTGTCAGTCAGCTGTGTTTCATACCAAGTTAGGGAACCACATTTGAAAATTGTTGTTTGCACACGTCAAATATTGGTGACTTGACAACTAATAGGAACATAACTCAGGAGGTGTCTTAAAAGAACAAAGGGCTTACTTTGCATCTATTTGTAGGTGTCTTGTTCACACTGGAAGTGAAGCGACACTTTTTTTTTTTACCCCGCGTAATTTGGCTCAAACTACACACGCTGGCAAGGTGGCGGGGCTTATCTCCATGTAGATACCAACTAGACTAAATTAACACATTTCCAGTTATTTAACTGTAATACTCATATCGAAATGATCCCAAAATAGCTACATTACTTATCACATTAGTAAAAAAACATACATTAATGCTCTGGCAAGTGTGTCCGCAACACGGCAGCAAAAACACATTTTATGTGTACTTTCTGAACGGAGAATGGATCGATCAGGCGAGGCCAAGGTACCAAGTTGCAGCTGCTCCGTTTACACCCAAAACAGTAGCGATTTTAATTTCTCATGCCATACACGTCATTTCGCCACGCAAAATTGGCTTCGCGTCTGGTGTGAGTGCATCAAACAAAATCAAGTCCTATGACAATGGTTATGAAAAGTTGGTTTTCTGAAAAGATAAATCACGTCAGATTTGTTATTCTTTGATCTTTTTCCACCATCTACACTTACTTTACTATATTTATTCATTTTTTTTAACTGGAAGATTCCACAAAACTTGTTGGGCAATAATGTGTTATTGTTCATTTCTAGCTTTTCTATTGAAATGCTACATTGGAAAAAAGTGTTATAGCTACAATTAAACAATATTTGTATACAAGCAAGGGAAAATCAAGTTTATGAGATGGTGTCTGTCGCTTATAGCTATTAACAAGATTTATCAGCCAACTCTGCAGTTTATTCGAGTCTACCAAGAGCGTTTTTGTTTAACGTACCACAACTGAACTGTTGTGTTGTGTTGTTTTCAGCCACAAAAGGTCCAATATACCCTCTGTACTACCTGTCAAGCACCAAACAGCAACAGACAAAGTTAATACCTAGCTAATGAACACTGCCGAGCAGTCAGCAGCTTAAGAGCCAGTTATATCCCTCAGGGCTTGGTGGAGAACAAAGCAGAGCAAAGAAAAACAAAGGTTTGTTGGAGATGAGCCTGTCATTTAATGTCGATTATTTTTTGCACAACTAAAAGCATGCATGTTTTTATTTTAGTCACATGGTAAGGTTTAGTTTGAAAGTAGCCTCAAGTATTTCTTCGGAAAGCACACGTCTCTGTCCTCCTGCTATGGTTCCCTTTTGACCCGCTGTCTAATTAATATAATGTTGATGTGGAGAGTAATGAGCACAGCTCATGTCTAGAAAACAGATGGATGTTTTGTTGTCAAGCAATTTAGACACTGCTGTCTACCACACACACACACACACACACACACACACACACACACACACACACACACACACACACACACACACACACACACACACACACACACACACACACACACACACACACACACACACACACACACACACACACACACACACACACACACACACACACACACACACACACACACACACACACTCACACACACACACACACCAGCCAGAATCCTTTTTTTATTGCTTTGTTATGTTACCGGTGGATGATTTAAAGCTGAGGATGAGGTCATCCTGCTCATTGTGGTTACTAAATTGTTCCTCTGTCCATGTTGGTGCTATTAGTAATGGAGTGTGACAGAGGTTATGGTGCTGTACTATGTTAGCCATGAGCACACTCTCAGTGTTTCTGCCGTCCTCCAGCTGTTCCAGCTCACTCTCTTTCTTCTTCTTTAATGAGCCCGTTTGTTGGACCGATCCAAGCCCAGATCTGGCATTATTTTGCTTTCAATAACTTTTTGGAAGCGATCATTTGGCTAAGGACATTTATTCATTAGTCTTGTAGGTTTTTGCTTACAAAGCCATGTGTTCCAAGCAGCAGTAATTATGGTTTGTTTGGAATACATAGAAGAAAAGCACTGTTTGTATTTGCAGTGAAACAGGCCCTTTGGCTGACCTGACGCTGCTAGAAAAACATTTGTATTTCTTGTTTTTAAATGTGTTACTTGCAATGGCGGAACTAAGTCCATTGAGTTTAATGAGTTTCATTCATTTTATTTTGAGGTACATTTTACTTCAGACTTTCCCTTTTATGCAACTTCTACTTGTACTCCACTACATTTAGTGGTGCTTTTGACATTATACATCACTGATTTAAAGGTTTTATTTATTTAAGATATAAAATGAAATTAAGTCGCGCAAGAAGAAATAAAAAAATAAAATTGTGCAAGAGAATAGTGTAAGGGACACAATGGTGCATATACGTTCAGAAATGAGTAATCAGCCGTGTTAATTTGTTTAAAAAATATTACTACTAATCTACCAGATAGTAGAAAAATATCCAAAAATTAGCTTCACTTGGACAAGTTACATTAAATAACTTTTATATCTAAACTTTTAAATGTATTTGTTGGTGATAAAAAATAGAGGCATTTTGACAATAACTTATTAACAAATACGCTTTACCTTGAATACTTTGAGTACGTCTTGCGGATAATACTTACCATACTTTTACTTAAGTAACATTTTCAACTCAGGACTTTAACCTTTAATGGAGTGGCCTGATTATGTTTTTTTGAAGTTTGGGTTCTACTGTATAGGTTTGTGTGCATGTTAATGGTCTGCAAAGGCTAAAATCCCTGTGTACCCCCCAGAGGGAGTTTCTCTCACACTGTTACATCCCTCATGATCGTTTTAAAGTGTGTGGTTAAACTGTCTAAATGGACCGCCAGGCATCTGGTGTCACTTCAGTCTGCAGTCCGGATCCCTCCTGTTCAACAGGAAAGACTTTATTGACAAGGGCACATGTTAACACAGATTAGCAGTGTGCAGCCACTGAACTGGTAAATTCAATCAGAGTAGTTGCATATGTTTAAGCTCTAAGCAGCCTTTGCCTTTCTCCTTAAATAAAACTCCAGTCAGTCTCAGGAATCGTGGAGCTGGAATGACCCCGAACACGACACAGACCAAACCACATGCGTTTTATGACCTTTTTTTTTTAATATAAAAACATAAATATCCCAGCCATGTAGATGTCGCCCAATTACATTTCTCTGCCCACATTTAAAAATCAGACAAAGATAGAGTGAGGAGGATAAATATAGTTCCACTATATTGAATCATCATAGACAACCAAAATGCACATAACTTGTGTGTGTAACTTTCATGTTTTAGTGTTAATATATAAACACGTACTAAAAGCAATTCTCGGAATATAAAGGCGTGCGTTGTCTATTTAAAAAAAATGAACCTTTATCCAGGCCAAAAATGTGCAAAACAGAGAGGAAAGGACTTAACAGTGTTCCGCTCTTAAAATAAATCGTTAGCATGCCCGACTACCAGCTTAATATTCATGATTATTTATAAACATTATAACTGGCTCCTTCAATACTTTTATGAGTTCTCTTTAAAAGAAAATGCTACTAGTTACTAGCTAGGCCAAGGAGCACATCATAGAGTTGTGCATTAATTACGCATTTATGTAGGCCAACCTGGAAGTTAGCAACTCTACGGCTCCCCCGACAAAGCAATGGGATTAGCTTGATGATGTTTAGAAGTCTAATTTAGCCACTTGTTAGCATCGCTTTTGAGAAACGTAAAAGCTTCAGATATTCACAAGTTGGGGTGTTTATAGAGATATTTTATGTCGTGGAAGAAAACATGAACATATCTTCAAGCTGTGTTCACCACAGACCTTATTTCATGTCTTCAACTACTAAAAACACGTTCAAAAACGTTGACTTCAAGACGAGGATACCTGGAACTCATTTCCTGGACCCCTCTATTATCAAACTGATAATATTGAGACAACATCTCTGGACTTCACACCTCATTTCTTTATTTTCAGCCAGATATTATGAAGAGCCATTAAGAGCATATTTAATAACTTTTGAAAGGGCTCTGTATGAAATAACTTTGACAATTAGTGTGCCACAAGTATTGTAAAAAACTGCGTATGTGCTGTTTACAAACCAAAGCTTGAGTCAAGGGCAGTCGGGCGTACAGTAGAACACGGTGAATTATGACTGTGGTGAATCTGCTTTATTTTGTCATCGCTTCTAACGCTCGGTTTTCGCTTTATCCTTTTAAATGTAATGGTGCTATAAATAGTGTTGAAGTCTCTCTTTCTCTTCTTTGTTTTCTCCAGGTCAGCCTACCAAATGACTCCAGCTGTGTTGAAGAGATTTTGCGGGTATGTACACACACACACACACACACACACACACACACACACAACACACACACACACACACACACACACACACACACACACACACACACACACACACATACACACACACACACACACACACATACACACACACACACACATACACACACACACACACACACATACACATACACACACACACGCACACACACACACACATACACACACACACACACACACACACATACACACACACACACATACACACACACACACGCACACACACACACACATACACACACACACACACACACACACACACACACACACACACAGAGTAATTGCACTGATTATCAGCAGTTTTCTGTTTGCTCACAAAGACCTTCGTGTCTCTCTGGAGAGTTTGATGTTTGGAAGAAAGGGAAGGGGGGGGGGTCGAGGGGAGAAAAAGAGAAGCAGAGAGGGGGGGAGAAGGAGACCTGTTAGCTCAGGTCAATGATTATACAAGTTTTTTTATTTGTCGGATGACTTCATGTATAAATATTTTCCACAACAAGTGTCTCTTCCTCTCTCTTTATCCTTCCTTTCCTATCTGCATTTCATTACAATTACTCCACACAACATGTTTTTGCCCTCTTTTTGTTTTGTTTGTGATCCTTTAGGGCAGGGGTGGGGAACCTCCGGCCCCCGGCCCGCGAGACCATTTGGTACGGCCCTCGAGATAATTTATTAACACAGGAAAAAAATAAAATAAATTAAGAAATCTAGATTGCAAATGAATTAAACAAGCGAGTGCCTGTTTTTCCTGGCCAAGGTCAGGGTCCTTGAACACAACACAAGCCTAACGTGTCATCACGTGGTATATGTCTCGTCTGACAGGGGTGTAGTTCTGACGGAGAGCACCAGAACGCCGCTCCGCCACTTCGAAAATGTCAGTACCCATAAGGAGCCGTACACATGCCACAGTTTTTGCGTGGCTGTGTCTTTAGTTGAAAGCCCAGTGGCGATCTGTTCATCTGTCATACTGATCATACAGTCAATAACTTTGTTGTTATTAGCATCTGGTTAGCTAGCTATGCTAACGAATATAAGAAGCTTTTTCTACAACCAGTGAGGTAAAGGCACATCTTTATATGATCATTATAGTTATTATAAAAAAATAAGAGAATAAAGTAAACAGGTATAAAATACTATGACAGTACAGAAAAGTTGTTATTAATAAACAAGAATAGAGTTTAAAAGGGGAGTGATTTGTAAAATATCCATAAAGAAAAAGAAAATCTGCTTACAGTTCTGTTTCATATGGGTGTTGAGAGATATATCCACAGATCTCTTCATGTTGCTCTCAAAGTGCACCAGATTGATGCTTTTAACTTCAACATTTAAAAAAAATATCTTCCCCGTGGAGCATGCCCCCGGACCCCCCTAAAGGAGGTTAGGTCCCCCCCCACTTAATCATGTTCACATGGATAGGAAACTAAATACATTTGCACACATCTTGTGTCCATATCTTTCTGTGGTCATGCCACAACCGTGCACGTGCATGCATACACGAGTCTTGGTAAGATATCTGGATTAAGAGGTTGCTTTTTCTTTGCACAGCATGAAAGAAAGGCGAAATGAATGGGCTGTGATTTTAGTATTTTTAAGCAGAGGTCAATAATTTGTACGGCCCTCGGAGGATGTTGAAAACATTGAAATGGCCCTTGAGAGGAAAAAGGTTCCCCACCCCTGCTTTAGGGTGTGTTTTTTTATATTAAATTCCCTGCAAATCTTCTTCTAAAAGCGAGGACTTTCTCCAACAATGTGAAATTATCTCTTTCTTTCCTCTCTGTATGTCCTGTCTCTCCTCCTCTCTTCCCTCTGTCACTCACCTCTTTCACCAATCAATATGCTGGCCAACAGGCTGTGTGACAGATACAGTAGTGTGTGCTGCGAGCTGCATGAAAAGCCTTTGTCAATAATATTGGTGCGCCATTGAATTCACTGTGTGGTTTTGTAGCCGTGTCAAGTGGAAAGATCAGGGAAGTTGAGAAAGTGAGGCGAGGTGAATCCGAGCGCAGGCCCAAGGTTCATTTTCTCCCTTTCTGTGACGGCACGGATACAAGTAGGTTGTCACAGACACATTGTTGTTTTGGATGTTTTTACTATTCAAGGTAACAGAGTGTATCAGACATATTGTGTAGAGAAGTGAAGCCGCTCACACTCACTTTCAGCTTTCAAAGGCTATTGACTTTTGAAGTTTTTGGACCATTTATAGCGCTTTGTGATGTAATGGAAGAATTCCTTCATCTCTCTGCATCTCAATTTGCTTACTTCTTCCTAACATTTGCTGTTTTAGTGGCAAGTGGCACAGGGGAAACGCGCTACAAAGGCCTAAAACATTTCCATTAGGAGAAACGCACTGCAGCTTCAGAAATGATGCAAACATAAAAACACAAATATACTAAAAGACATTTCAGTGAAGAAACATCTTTATGAACTTTATGAAACATGTGCAGCGTTGACTAAAAGTTCTGCATAAACTCTGCAAATACAAAACACTTCAAATAAAAAAACGCTGCTAGAAGCTCCAAACACAACGGAAACAGAGATACTAAAAAAAAGTGATGCACACAGCTGTGACTGGAGCACTTGTTGACGCTAGCTACATGTAACCCAGCTAACATACAGTATTCATGTAGAAATGAATCATGCAATCACATTTTGCAACAGTGACGGTTAGCCAACTTTATTAATAATAATCATCCCCGACCGTCAGCGAGCGCTCTGATCCCAGCTGTGTGCATCACTTTTTAGTGTCCCTGTTTCCGCCTTGCAGCGTTTTTGTATTTGCAGCTTTTGGTTTCTGCAGCGCTTTTAGTAAACGCTACGCATGTTTTGTCAAAATGGCTTCATTAACATGTGTTTCTACACATTTGTGTTTTTATATTTGCATTGTTTGTGAAAGTGCACTGCGTTTCTCCTAGTGGAAATGTTTTGGGCCGTTTGGATTTGCACCTGTCGGCCACCATATGAAAGTGCTTCACAATGTGCTTCACAATGCAAAGTATGGCTTAATTCAGTGCACTATGAGAACCTGGTTGGTGAACTCATAACGTTTAAAAAGTTAACATGCACAGAACACAGTATCAGATATGTCTTTCTGATAAAATAAATAAATAAAACCCTACCACCATTTAAGAAAATTCCGGTCCTGCCTCTAATGGACACTTGTAGGAAAACTAGAAAATGCATTTCCTGCTGAAAATGCGTGTGAATGCCGTAAACTGTGAACATTTGTGGCTGAATTTAGCTGAAAATGCAGAAAAAGCTGAATACGTTATTAGCTGAATGGTCTCTGTAGCTGCTTTTAGCTACACAAACCAAGTAAGTGTGTTGCTGAACTTAGCGGAGAAATGCAGAAAAGTGAAATGATTTGAATTAAAATGGTTACAGCTCAAATGCATTGCAATGACTTTGTTGAAAACTTGAAAGTGAAATGTTAAAGTAGGAAAAATTGTGAAGAAGCTTAATATTTAAAAGAAAAGGTTTAAAAAAGGTATAAACAACAAAATGTATAGCCTCAATGTCCTGAAATAGCTGAATAAGTTCATAATAAGTTTAATGGTTTATAGCGTAGGCTGAAGGAGTTAAATATTAAATGTAAGTAGTAGTGAATGAATGTGTATTAAGAAGAGAAAAGAAAGTAAAAAGGCTTTGAAAAGCATCAGAATATTTTAACTGCAAACTTTTGAACTAAAACCAAATGTCACCAGTAATGTATAGAATATGTGGAACGTGTTGAAGTCAGTATGAAGTCTCCATCAGACAGAAAGGAATAGGCTGAGACAGTCTTTAAACTCCAGTCTGTCTGTTTGTGTTTGAGGTGATGACGTTATCAAACACCTGTGTGTGTAAGCCCAGAGATAAAAGGTTACCATGGTGACGACGTTATCAAACACCTGTGTACGTGAGCCCAGAGATCAAAGGTTTCCATGGAGAGGAGCTGTGAAAGGAGAGCCTTTCCATTGTTCTGAATGAGAAATAAACCTCTTACATTTCTAACTATAGTTTAAAAACGGTAGCTGCTTTCGGTAAAATGTCAACGCGTGAAGCATGTCAAGGACCCTGAGCGTCAGAAGTATGCTTTTTGTGCACTTTCGGGTCAATAATGTGGCATTTTTGGCAGATTTACTAAAGGTGTGCAGCTGCTGCTCTGAGGATAGATCAGGCTGTATTTACAATGGGCCTAAGGCCTAGGCTCCACGGGAACGAAAACGGGTTGAATCCGCATATTTCTCTTGCGTATAGCCCTTTAAGCTAGACGACGCCGTAACGGAAACGTAGAAACAGACCCTGCAAACGACAACGGGTCCAAAGGTGGATAGATCTGGGAACGGAGCGCTCTGGGGGGTCCAACGGGGCCGTGTGGTAGCCTATACGGTCATCCGTTTCTGATAATGACGACGCAATAGCCCCGCCTCTCCCCACCTCTGCTGCTCACCCCCGCAAAAGTACACTGCACACTGAATTCAGATTATTTATCTTTATCTCGATATGGACATAAACGCGAGTGAAGTCTAATCGGACACGATGGAGACACGCAGCTCCTCCCGCTGTGATGCAGCGGGAGGAAAACACACACTTCAAGTCAGATCATCACCCTTAGCTATTTTAATTACCTCTCAAACTACCTAAACTAGTTATAATATGTTTATTTTTACTGTCGAGTCATCATTACTGGATCAGCTGCTGCATGAGACAGACACTGACGCTGTCAGAAGAGAGGAAAAAGAGACAGCCTCCGTGTATTTTATGATTATATATCATTATATCGTCGTTATTCATTTGTTTTAAAGCTCAATAAATAACAAAGAAGACCTTTGACCGGCACTTTTATAATTTTGTCCGGAAGATTTAAACTTTAACACATGTTGACCGGCGAAAAACTCTGCCCGGATCCCTCGGCCCCCACCAAGGAGAATAAACAGAAGTGCAGCCATGACAACCATTCTTCTTCGCTGCTTTTGTGGAGGAAGTTGCTGCTTTTGTGGAGGAAGTTACAGCTCCACGTACAGGCTCGGCATATGTACTGCAGCTTTTCCAGCGGTTGGATGTAAACGGAGCCGTCTCGTGGAGCTTGACACAATCCGGTGTATATTGCGTGTGGGCGGAAGCTTTTTTGCGTTTGCGTTACTCCGATGCGTTTTGCCGTATGCGTTCCCGTGGAGCCGGGGCCTTAATGGAGACATGTTGAAAGTTTTTGTCACTTCATGCCCTCAAGAGGCATTTTGTTTAATTTTTTTGTTTAATTTTTTTTGAATTTTTCAACGTAAGAGAGGTTTTCCTACAATTCAAGCATACAATTATGTCCCAGGAGTGTAGGGTTTGGGAATTATGGCAGTTTAAAAAGAAAAAAATGTAAAGCGAATTTCAAGCTCTCCTCCACTCTAGCTGTGACATCAAGCACTCTAAGCCTTAACGAGCTGCGCAATACACACTAATGTTAAAATCTGAAGAAAGCCTCTTTACCAAGCTCCAAACTAAGTTAAATATCTCAAAAAGTGTAAAATATATGAAAACTCTGCTGAATGTCTTGTGATCATTTTAAAGGTGGAATGAAGTCTCTACCTGAAAGTATGTGGAAGGAGTAGCATTTGGCGCAAGGTGTAGGTAAAAGAGGATTTGAAGGTTCCTCCCACATGTTAAAAAAAGAGTTTAAAAAGCTGAATATTTCAAAAAGTATCATATATTTAAAAAAAATTGTATTCTGAAGTTATTCGACGGCAAAATATTGGTTGAAATAAGAAGAAGAAGAAGATTAAAGAAAAACAGAAGAACTATAGTGGAATGCTGTTGTACAGCATTCACACTAATGACGTATATGAGTTAAAGATAGGAGGTGAATGGGGGATGATATGACATATATAACAAATGGCACACATTTAATTACAATTGCAGGTACACACACATCAGGAGTGTCGTCTGTCAAAACACAGGAACTCTGCTAGTAGGGGTGATGTCAGAGAAGAGTTTCCTAGCAACACACAGTTTTTCGTCAGGACGAGTGCATTACGATGTCGGAGAGGAAAACACACGCACATGTAGACTGGACTCAGACTCCTGAATCTTCAATAACATCTTGCTTCTACACACACACAAACGCAAACACATGAAACATGAATCATCTCAGGATATGAGTCATCTACTCCTGAGGGGGCGAAGAGAGGCATGTTGGGATATTGTGATGTCACTGAACTTTTAAGGCCCCTGACCCAGTGACCTGCTGTATGGAAGTCGTGTGAGTGTGAACATGTGTGTGTGTACAGGTTTTGGAAGTAATGGAACACATGCAACCGGAATATCTAATCAGAATACCAAAAAAACAGTAACTGAATTCCCTTACAGTTACCGAAATAAAAGTGTAAAAGAGGACACTTAATGCTAATTTTCAGGATCATATTAGTATTAAGAGCCTCTACTGTGACATGTTTCCATGCTTTAATGTTCAGAAAGATCTTTATTTTTCTCGTACTGCCTGTGCTGCAGCACCTCTTCTCACCCTCTGTCTGAAACCAGAGCCCAGTCTGCTCTGATTGGTTAGCTGGCCGGCTCTGTTGTGTTTCGCCAACCGCTTAGAGATGTCCCGCCTCTTAGCCTATCACGTCCCATGTGTTGGAGTGCTAGCCAATAGATGCGCCTGTGTTACGTAGTGATGTCACTATGTTACAGAAGTAAACAAAGGATTCCAATGGAGGCGATTCAGGCAGGGGGGAGTGTGTGGGAGACAAACACCCTCTGTAGGGAACACAGGGATGTTAGCCTTTGCAGACCATTTACATGCACTAAACTACTTATATGACACACTACAGGGAAGTCAAACCCAAAAAGCATAATAGGGCCGCTTTTAAAATAATTGTGCAGTGGACAATTTCCCGTTATTTCCCAAAACGTAACGAAAAGTAATCAGATTATATTACAATTTGTTGCGAATTACATTCGGTTAAAGACTATATTTTTGTAGAGGTAATTAATAATTGTAACAGAATGCATTTAATGTAACCCTCCCAACCCTGTGTATGCCAGTATTAATTTACAGGTGGGGCCTTAAAAAGAATGCAAATAACAAACAATAGTGCCTACATAAAAAATGTGCACCACTGCCCTTTAAATGCAGTATCATCTTTCCGCTGTTTGTGAGAGAGGAACAACCAATATCGTACAGATGATATAGCTGCAGGACACACACACACGCGCACACACACACACACACACACACACACACACACACACACACACACACACACACACACACACACACACACACACACATGCACATACGCGTATCTTGTTGACTAATTAAAGCTTGTGCACATTGAAAATAGTCTTCAACAGAGGAGACTGTGATTAGAATAATTGAAATGGGATGCTGCTGCTGCTGCTTAGTTGGAATGCAACCAACTGAAGTCAGCTTTTACTTTGGTAATTCCACAACTCTGCACTTAGTTCACTGTGAGTACACTGATCCCTGGTGGGCAACCAACTCCCCGTGCTCCTCTCAGTTTGTGCTATAAGTTATATTAAAGTCCACTCTGATGGAGACGCTTCAGCGCGGCCTTGATTAAACGCTGACTCAGCTCCTCTGCATCAGAGCGGTTGCGTAAGCAGTCCCTTTGGTCAACTGTAGTCATCATTGTAATTCACCAGGTACTTTCCACATGAGGAAGAACTTACATTAACCGTGATTCCTCTGCTTTACTTAGTTTGTGCTACCAAATGAACGAAAAGGATGTGTACGTAATACAAATATTTGTGTGTTTAGGAGATGACCCACTCCTGGCCTCCTCCTCTCACTGCCATACACACTCCTGGGAAGGCTGAGCAGACCAAGTTCCCCATCCCAAACAAGGTTAGTACAAGTCCTCTGTCTTTGTCCCACTACAAACAAAAGCTGTCTGCTAACATTAAGGCTTTATAGAGTGGTGCAAGAATGAGTTCTCAAACCCGAGAATGAGTTAGCGTTTAGGCACTGTTGGTTCCCTCGTTTTGTCCGTTTAAAAAGAAAAAACGTTTGTAGTTAGATACTTGAAATAAGTTCTGTGGTTAAAACAAACAGGTTTTGTTCTACGACATGAAATACGTCAGTAAATACCCCGCTGGTGAATGTCTGAAGCTTTCAAGTGACTTAAAAAACGTTGTCTGCTAGCAAGTGACTAATGGCGCAGTTCCACTGCAGCGCGGAGCTCGCTTTAAGCGTGCCGTGTCGTGCCGTCCCCTTTTTTGGTTGTGCTTCCACTAGGCCAATTACCGGCGCGGCACGGCGCAGGGCCACTTTTTCACCTCTTTTCTGGCCCTAGAAAATTGTGGTTCTATCGGGGCCAACAAACAGGGCTGAGTCGGGCTGAGTATGCTAAACTAGAGAGAGGAGCGCTGGCAAGAGGGCTAGAACTACAACAAGATGGACATATTTGACCGTGATTTAATTGTAATACACGTTTCAAAATGATGCCGAAGTAACAACATACTGATACCGGTTAGTAAAAAACCATGAATTAATGCTTTGTCAAGTCTGCAGACAGACGGCAGGCGAAAAACCTTTTAAAATTCGTGTTTTTCTAGATGGAGATTGGCTAAGCTAACGCAGTATATGCCCCGACCGTCCACACTCACAACAACGGCCTATACAGACATAAATAAAGCAGCGACTGTATTCACCATGACACAGGCAGTCTGTGGTGTGTACTTGTTTAACTTTTGTCGAGTTTCTGAACATATATAAGGAGCTGTGAGCTCTGAGTGCTAACAGCTAACGGCTGTGTTGTGTTTCTGGATTTCTCATTGAAGATGACGTCACGGCTCCGCCTACACTGCGTTACTATAGTAACTACCCCAGTTCCTAAACTGTAATGGAAGCGCAGCATGAAGTGAGTCGGCCCTGTTAAGGCCCAACGCGGCCAAGCCGTACCGAGCCGTACCGAGTGTGGCCGAGGCCGACCGTGTAGTGGAAATGCGCCATTAATGAGACTAAATGAGACTACTACTACGTCATCATGCCAGCAATTAGCCGCCTTTAGCTTAGCGATGGTGACATGTAGTCATGTGACCATGATGTCGTTTTGTTTGCCTAATATTTGCTTTTCGCTTCTGATGATTGCATTCACGCTTCATCTATTAAGGGGTTGTAAACATGTGGAGATCTTCCTGCAGAACAAAAGGAGTTAGTAACATAAACGTGTTAGCCACAAGCCTTATTTTCTGCAATATTCCAAAATCTAATTGAAACTCCCATTGTCTCTTGTCGAGGAAGCCCTTGCAATGCTTATTCTGGTCCGGCCTACAACAATTAGTAATCTCTCCACCACTATACAGTATCATATTTTCCCGAAAAAAGGTTATATTGAGGTTTTTCAATGAAGCGTCAAGTTAGTGTCTTTATATTTTATGACAACTTTTTTTGGTATTGTGTTTACATAATTGTAGATGTTAGTCTGCCCTGTTATTACAACGTGTGCTTCCCTTTGCGTACTGCAAGTGGGAAAGCTGTATTTGATTTTGAAAGTTTACATGCCAACAAATATGGTTGGAAATAAAATATTTTAAGAGATAAAAACGTATAGAGATTTACGGTAATGATTGCATCTATCCTTTTCCAATAAACGTATGCTTTAGGACTTTTGATGCACTGGAGTCTTATAAAACTAATAGTATATTACTAGTATTATAAGAGTGGCATCATCTTTAAGAGAGGGAGAGCAACTTCAATATCTGCTATATCTCTACCTAGCAAATAGTTGTTTTATTACATAATGATATGGTATCACGCTTTTATCCAAGATAATCCTTTATTGGTTCCTCTATGGTCTTTGCAGTGTTACAGATAATAAATAACACTTCAAATAGAAACTATGGCATATGATATAAATATATAATATTGCACAATATAAGATATTGCTGCTTCATAATATTTCTGAATGCCATAAATATAACTAACTTTAAATGTCGTTATCTGCTTTGACTAAATCCTTCCCTTTATTAGTGCATGAGTCAGAGAGTGGAAAAAAGAGTTGAGAAACCTTCACTTGAACTCCCACACTTCAAACTAAGTGCTCTCTGTCTCGGAGAATATTCGCTCTGCTCATTAGATCTGATCCATAAATTCATCGTGGCACTGATTGCTGTGATAGAATCAGATTACTGTTGCCTCACCCTGCGAGGTGGCGCAAGTGACAACCAATGAAATTACAATGTTAATGAAGTACTGCGTGTTTAATTCGCCTCCCTAATGTGTGTGTCCGCAGCTGAGAGGAAGTGGACACATTCCTGATGACAGGATCTGCACTGTACCCACTATCAAAGACGGGCTTTCTTTATAGATGTCTTTCTTCATTTGTGATAAATGGCGTTATTAATCGCTAATAAATCGAATGCTTTGTTATCATTAAGCCCTTAATAAGAAACACATTTTGGGTTTCCAGCTTGGAACATTTCTCTCACAGGACTCTTTATTTATATTTTTAGTCCATCAGGTGCTGCCCCAAAGTGTAATTATAAAAGAAAACATTACATTACATTTAACAATTTAGAAAATGAAACATTTGTGTATCTGTACAATTTATATATTTTGTGACCCACTCTAACCAAAAAACAAACTTCACCCACAGAGACTTGAAGGGAATAACGTTGTTGTACCACCCACGCTGTTTTCTTTTTCAACAGGTGATGTTTGGGAAGTGTAATCACCAAACACTGACTTGCAATAAAAGGCAACAACTTAAGAGTTTCCTCTTTTGGAGACAGGTGTTAGAAAAGTTTCCACAAAAGTGCTTTTCATATAGATATTCAGAGCATTTGTCACATTAAAACCAACATAAATGTTATAATCTATCTCTGAAACGGCAGCTATTTTCTGACTGAAACAGCAGGTGTTTCTCAATGCTTTTATGAATCATATTTTGATATGCGCAACGGCACATTGGTGGTGATTTTAAAGGAAATAGCGATTGTAAACACAGCAGCAGTAGATCTGACCCGGTACTTAATGAATTAGTAGACAGTGTTGTGGTGCTTTTACCCCCCGGGGGCGCGCTAATCCTGCCGCCGAGTTTTAAGAATGAGGTGAAAGCATTGGCGCGGTGGAGATGAGAGGATCTGAATTCCGCGTAATGGCATCGTTGGGCTCCTGTGAAATCAATAACGACATCTGTTGGTTTATTCATTCAACTCATCGCCCTCTGGCTCTTTCTCTCTCCCTCTCTAGGAGTCGCAGCATGTGACCTCGGGCTACAACACCCAGAGTAAGTTTCCCAGCATCCACCCTCACACACTGCCTCTATGGTAATTAACACTGGGGAGGCCATAAAGGCAATACCACCCAGAAAAGAAGCAGCTTCCAATGAATTCGTAGCCACGGGAGCACCAAACCTTTGCTTTCATCTCTATGTGAACAAGTAAGCAGACAAACATGGTTTTACACACACGGATACATTGGTTCTATTGATTGAGGTTTGTTTGTTTTTCTTTAAAGGGGCCCTATGATGCACATTTTCAGGTTCATATTTGTATTTCATGTCTCCACTGTGACATGTCTCCATGCTTCAATGTTCAAAAAGCTCTTTATTTTTCTCATACTGCCTGTGCTGCAGCACCTCTTTTCACCCTCTGTCTGAAACCAGAGCCCAGCCTGCTCTGATTGGTTAGCTGGCCAGCTCTGTTGTGCCCCTTAGCCTATTATGTACAGTCTGTTGGAGCGCTGGCCAATAGAAGCACAAGTGTTACATAGTGATGTCTTTATGTCAAGAAGGTAAACAAAGGAGTCCAATGGGGGCGTTTCAGGCAGGGGGGGAGTGTGTGGGAGAGAAACTCCCTGTGGAGGGAACACAGGGATTTTAGCCTTTGGAGCTCATTAACATGCACTAAAACCTATAACACAATACAGGACAGGGAAAAGCACAAGAGGGCGTCTTTAAAAGCAGCTTGATGCTCACACATAAGAAGGTAGAGCTTTTTTAGTCAGCATTTACATTTTGCGTAGTGAAATACAGCAGAGGGTGATTTGCTGTTATTCATGGGCAATTACACATTTGGGATCATTTCGTCCCAAGCTCACACTTAAGTGGTGAGCTGAGCACAGACTGCTCAGAGTGCTGCTGTTACTGATAGCATTCACTCAGAAGAGGGAAATGTTCCCTCACAGTATGTTTGATTTCGCACTGCAGTATTCATTCATCATTATATAATATATATTATTTTGGTTTAAAGGCAACAAAAACTGATTGGGAAACACATTTTGTGGGGTTCACTTGACTCATAGTGCTGCTAACATCCCACCAAAATAGAAGAGAAGCAGTAGGGTTCAGCCTAATATATAGGTTTATAAGAAAATGTGACATGAATAACACAATACAGGACCGGGATTGGGTTTTCATCTTACTAGTGTTTTGTATTGTTTTTACGTCATGTAGGAGAGTTTCTCAGTCTGTGGCTTCTGATCTGGTTTCATTGTCTCGTGTTTTACATTTGTTTCATGTCCTGTCTGTTTTTTATGTATTTATGCTATGTTTTTATACAGTTGTTGATGTACAGCACTTTGTTCAACTCTGTTGTTTTTAAATGTGCTATAGAAATAAAATGGATTGGATTGGATAAATATATCGTGATTGAAGCTAAAGTATATACAGTATGAACAGTACCAATAGCTATAAACACTATGTAGAACAGTACATGTTGAATATACTATTGAGGTAGCAGAAAGATATACAGTATAATATTTACACTATAGAAAGAATATTATAGATCAAAGTGGTTCTATTAAGCTCTTTGGCGTTTTATTTTTTCTGTAGTGTCTCATATTGGTTTTAGTGCATGTAAATGGTCTGCAAAGGCTACAATCCCTGTGTTCCCTCCAGAGGGAGTTTCTCTCCCACACACTCCCCCCCCCCTGCCTGAAACGCCTCCATGGTACTCCTTTGTTTACTTCCGTAACATAATAACAATACTGTATTTCACTTTGTAATGTATTTACTAAAGCATATCGTTCAAAATGGAGCAACTGACAAAAAAATACAAATTCCCCCTTGATAAGTAAAGTATTCTGTGTTTAAGACGTATATTTTGCCTTAAAAACACAATAGTTCTCACAGGCTTGGTAAAATGACTTGTTAAATACATGCTGAATGAGGATATTTCAACACATTGATAAGATATCGAGGGATGGTTACCTAAACAATTATGTTCTGTTTCATAAAGCGATGTATAGATGACTCTAAACACTTGATAGAATCTCTTTTATTCTATTTATTTAGTATTGACTCCCGGGCATCAGATCATCAAAAGCCTCGTCTGAACTGCTGCCCTGCTTTTAACCCTCATCTTGTAGTGTTTTGAAATGTTTGTGATGTATATTTCCCCCACTGGCAGGTTTTTCTCTCTGATATAAACAGAAGAAACACAACATGACTAGAATATAAAACACAGTGAAAAGGTTCTGCTCTAAAAGTCTGTGTATCCATTTAGAAAACATTTTACCTCAATCTTTGTCAGGCCGTGCATTTCAGTTTGTTTTTTACCCAAACCCCTGTTACCAAAGCAAGGCAGAAATATGCTCTCTAATTAAATAAAAATGTAGCAGTGACATGTTTTCCAGCGTCACAACAGAATTGCACATCCACGGTTGTTATAGTCTGGATTCTTGTCAAAAAGCAATCAACACAAAAACAAAAACACATGCAAAACAGTGATGCTGGAATGTCCTCTGATGTGTTGCAGAGAGATGTACTGTATCAGCTAACAAGCCTGCTGCGAAACCTCCAACTGCACCACAGAAGTCGTGAGTATCTCCCTCCCTGACACACACACACACACACACATACACACACACACACACACACACACACACACACACACACACACACACACACACACACACACACACACACACACACACACACACACACACACACACACACACACACACACACACACACACACACACACACACACACACACACATACAGTAAACAGAGAGTTTCTGACCCGCTGCTGCTGCTGCGTTTTGCCTCAAGGTAAAATTAAGCTTGACTCTTGGATGAAATTCACTGCTGGTAGGAGAAGGAGAAAAAGAAAAAAAAGATTGTGTGTGGATCAGAGCGAGGAAAGTGCAGCTACATTAATTTAACGTGAGCCAGGAGCATATTGCAACATCTCTGGCCCCTCTCCACTTCACTCACACGACTGTACAGCAGGATTCATTGCACGGAGAGATTGAAAAAGGAAGAAATCTTGGCTTGTAAATACGCCTCTCGACCCTGATTTATCCTGGTTTTGACCGCAGAAGAAATCATTTTGTTTCACAAAATGACAGTTGGCTTAATCCCTTAACCCTGAATAGGGATTAGTGAATCATATCTTAGTAACTTTGACTATGTATGCCTTTTCAAAATAAGACACACAAAAGGAATAGTGCCTTACTTTTCATTGGTACACACTTTAGACTTGTTTAGTCTTTTAGCTAACACATATTAAGCCTTTAATTGCATATATAAGAATACTATTATAATAATTAAGTCAGCTTGAAACATAACAAAATCAGCCAGAACCCATTTTCCTCAAAAACATTAAGCTGCTAATGTTAGCTCAGTTAGTTAGCTAGTATTGCCATAGTATCTGCTAGAAGCAGCTGTGAACTCAGCCATCAAAATAGTATAGAAAGAAAGCCATGTTTAGCTTTAGCCTCTGTCTTTTAGCATAACACTTATCTAGCTGTCAAATATGTATTTTAGAATAATTTGACAAGATTCAAGTCAGCTGAAACTAAATAAAAGTCAACATGTTTTTTGTACAAAAAAATTGGCTGCTAACATTAGCTAAATAAGCGAACTAGTTGAGTTTATATTATATTATCTGCTAGTGACATTTGTGATTTCAGCTAGCTAAATAGTATAGATATTCACCAACAACAACAACAACAACAAAACCCCAGCAAACAGTCAGTTATACATTTGAGAGGGACTATAGTAAATACAAAATTGGAGAAAAATGTGTCTTTTTGCGTCTGTGTCTATGATACACAGCTACTACGTACTTATGGAACATATTTCACTTGTTACTCAACAAATAATATCTTATTGTAGGTTTAGATCAAACTTAATTCATCACTTGTTGAAATGCTCAAGCTACCCAACAGTATAGGAAAATAATGACATACATACAAAAAAGATTAGCTTTTCCTCCAAATGTTACATGTCTTTCTTCATCTGGGGAAGAGGATGTCTGCTCTATCCACTGCCATATTTAATGAGAGTTTTAAAGATCTTAGTGGAATGCATTATTTATACATTTGAAGAAAGCTAATTAAAAAGGGAGCGACTTTTGGGCAAGCATGGTGTCAAAAAGAAGAGCTTCTGTGAAGTGAAGCAGACTTGATGGCTAGAAGATGATGCAAAAATCCTGCAAGTTAAGGAAAAGTCAATGCAGTCTAAAAGCGGTAATTCAGCAGGAGGTCAGCATGTAAACTCTCATGTCCTCCTCTTTGAGTATGTACTTACACACTTAATTATATCTCCATTAGGATGATGTCTGCTGGAGCTGCAGTGCCTATAATGTCTTAGTACACTGTTTTACTTCCAAAGGCGATAAGCCTATTTCTTTTGATTGCTATTGTTTGCCCTAAAGTGTAATTTCCCCCATCTTGTATTAAAGCAAAACTGCTGCTTTGTTTATTAGAGTGAAATAATTGTTATTGGTTCAAAACAATGTTTACTGCACATAATGCTCAACAGCGTAACATGTTGGTTATAATGAATAGGCCTCACTCGTCTTATTGAGGAGTAATTATGCTGTTGAGGCTAATTGCTGTATTCTTTACTGAATGTTCACTATAGCGACCGTACAGAAAACACATCTAACTGTGATTCCCGACAATAGGCTCCATACTTTAATGCCATGTTAGAAACAAAAGCAAGTAGTTACTAGAGCAGAAAGTGCCTCAGAGTTTCACTACACTGATCACATGATGTTTGGACAACTGCATGCTATTCATAAAGCGCAGGCCTAAAGCCCACAATCCTGTTTCATTGTTATCTGAATAGCTATATTACAATATTACGCCATAAACAACGTTTTAAATATCGAGTACATTTCAAAGATACACTACATGTGTACACCCTGAATCAGCTTTATCCTGCATGATGATAGCCAAATGATAAACACTGTGCTTGAGGACAATATTCAAATCATCATTATTTATTATTACTTAGTAAAATCCTACTAATGTTAAAATAAAGGTTGTACCATATTGGAAAAAAACTGACATTTCAATATTACATAAGCAGTATGCAATATGACAAATCCATAATAAAAAATACAATCAACACAAATCTTGCATTTTGAATTGAAAAGTAAGAGGCTACATACAGAAATAGAGATTTCTTTGATTAAGAGATTCTTTATTAATCCCAGCGGGGACATTTCGTTTTTTTACATCGCACACATGGGCCGAAACACACATGCAGGAGCGTTAGTGGAGAGGTGTCATGGAGCAGATTGGGGTTTAATGTCTTGCTCTAGGACACCTCAGCAGTGCCCAGGAGTCAGACTGGCACCTCATTTAATTATGTACAGTATAACGAGACGAACTGAGTTTCAAGATACTGGGTGGGGTGGTTTACCAACAACGTCACAGACCCACGGCATTGAAAAGCACTTGATTTGATATGCAGCAGCAACCACTTTAAACACATTTCATGTGAGCATATACATGTACAGACGTGTGAGGCTGATAACGTCAGATTGAGGCACCTGAGCCCCTGACAGCCCCGGTTGAATTCAACCCCTGCTTGTAACAGAGCAGAAGAAACGGAGAAGAATCTTGTATAGCCGAGTCAGCTTTTGTGTTTGCTCAGCCTCCAGTGTGGCGTCTCACCTGCCGGCAGCAGCAGAAAACCCACTGTTGTTTTTACAATCGCTGAGCATAGATAGAGCAAGGCACTAACAGTGGGTTAGGATTCACTCTCTGTTGTGCTCAGTGTAAAGAGTACTGACTCTGGTGCCTGCTCACCAACCATGTGGTGACGGGTCAGAGGAGGACAGTAAGCAGCTACTATTATTGTATTTAACCAATTGGAGATTGAATGCACTTTGTTTGATTTTTTTTGGGGGGGGAAAGCTGCCACCAAGTGAGTGCAATGCTAATAAGTATCTGAGATTCAACAGTTTATTGTCACTCTGGTTATACAAGTACAATCGATTTTCGTAATTGATTACGCTAGAATGCTCCATTAAAGACAAACACACAAAAATAAACATTGTATGATATATAGTCAAATAAATGTCATAATAAAACACAAAAAAAAACATAAAAGAAGTGTTTTATGTTGAACAAAAATTCAAATAAACATTTCGATGCAAATTCTGTTAATGTACATTTTTCGTGAAATGTAAGCAATACTTGTGCATATGTAGCCAATCCATGTTCATTTTCTCATCTTAGTGTAAACAGGGATAAATCCTTATACCGTACAAAAAATGTATTACTCTTTAATAATAAGGCACAGCAGGAGTGAGAATAGTCAACAAGAGGCTCACACTGAAAGCAAAAAAACATATCCTCACACAGCATCACACACACCAATCCTGCTGTGTGTGTTGTGTGTTTGGCAACATAAGAACTCATATATTGTGTATCAGATTCCATTTCTGAATAATCAGCCAACCTAGCCAGTTTGTATACACATGGTCATGGAAACACATGAAGCAATTCAACATACGTTATATATACAGCATATACTATACAACTCATATACGTGTGTTTGTAACTTTGGCTTGTGACATTCAGTATGAGAAGGAACAATGCCACACCTTGTGCTCTGATTGGACCAGAGTCTTATAACCTGGAATGGACATACTTTACCGCAAATACTTAAAAGTATGATTTTTACATTTTTAGATCACATGAACAATCAAACCTTCATTAAAAGTCAAGTTCAGGACTTTTTAAAGAAATTTGGAAAAGTGCTTACAATGTAATATATATAATGTATATCTTTGATATTGAACTTTATGTTAAACTTGATAGAAGTTCCTAGACAATAAATACTTGATTGTGTCCGTATCATAATATATTTAGTCTTTGGACACATAGATTACAGATTTGTCCTTAAATATAATTATAAATCTATATAGATTAGATATATACTTTTGTTCTTAGGCCAGCTCAAAAAACACTTCCATCAATGGAATTTTAAAATTCAGTTAATCGAAGAGTATTTGAACTTTTTTCTCCTATTTTTTTTTAATACCAAATAGGTACAAATATCCAGTAACACACAAGGAAAAAAAGAAAGTCTGACAAAGTTAAATTGTATGGCATACAAAAAAACGTTTGCCACACACCATTTCTTTTACATTTTTCGGGACACTTTGACAAGTTTCAAGTACAGAAAGTAATTATAACATCTTTGTCGAAGTCAGCGCAGCAATTATCAAAATGGAGTAAATGTAGACAAAAACATAGACGTCTGTGTCAGATTGAAGCCAAATAGGACTGAGAGCAGGTCTAAATAAATGTACCGGTAGTTATTTACAAGAATTTGGAGAAACTTGGAAGTTTTCCCTGTGTTTATTTTTTCAGTACATCTGGAATTCTCTTGAGCAATCAGTCCTTACCACAACTTTTATTTAGCTTCGGAAAATCATTGCAGGCAATCTTTCAGAAGTAACAGAGCTCTAATACCACTAAACGTTAGGATATAAAGGCTGTTTTATGACGGCAATTAAGAGCCTTGTAGAAATGTGCTTTCTGAGCTCTGCGTGTCACAATGCTTCAGTCCATAACTCATTTATATCCAACTGTCCTCTTGTATTTGATTCCTTTCCCCTCCATGCTTCCTCTCCTCTTCTCTCTGCCCGTCATCATCTCCATCTCACTCCCTATCTCCCCCTCTCCATCTGTCCCTTCTTATGAAACAAAACATGAATCCATTATTCATTCATTCAAACATATCTATCATCGCCATGCCCCTTATCTGCAAAGCTTTTTTTTCTCATTGTGCTTCGGTTATTCACGACTCGTACGGCCTCCGACTGAAAACACCACAACACTGGGGAGTGGGTTTTTTTCAGGCACTGACAAGAGTGGTTCGCGAGGCAGTAAAAATCCCTTTAGGGGATTCTCCTGTCATAACAATAGCAGTGCTAGCTTAAAAATAACAGTAGTTTGTGTGGAAGGTTTATATAAAGCAATAAAACAAGGGAGCTTGCCGATGCACAGCACATAAATACTGAATAATTTGTGCGGTGAGGAGCAGGTGATGCTCTGAGGGGGGTCATGTTATCGACTGAGTCTCGTATATCTTTATCACGACCCGCATATTGTTGGAATTTCATCTGTAACCTGGGGAGAATAAAACAAACAAGGCTCATAAAGAAAACAGGGCAATAAGCGGGTCTTTTTTTTCTTGAGTTAGAAGCCCCCAACGAAATATCCGTAACCTGGCGGAGGGACTGATCTCAGCGTCCAAGGAATTCCTGGCGGTATGTCAGCGGTTGTCAGACAGAAAGTTTCCAGGTGAAAAAACAATCTGGCTCTTCTCACAGAGCTGTGGGAGAACATCTGGTCGGTTTTTTTTTCCCGACTAAATTCGCAAACATGAACCAGCACTTCTTCTGCTGTGTAATTAAATGGTTTGCCAGAAAGGTTCTTCAAAGGGAATTGCAGATCAAGACTCTGCACTTCTGACTTAATACAAGCAGACTGGGGGGGCGGGGGGTGTTCAGGGCCGCAGAACTAACACGTGTCCCTTTGTCCCCGTGCAGAATGCTGGAGGATGACCTGAAGATCAGCAGCGACGAGGAGGAGGCCGAACAGCAGGTGAGCTCCGGTCATTTGTCTGTCTGTGCAAAAATCATCCATTGCTCCATCTGTCCTCCATCCACATCCTTGACCTTAAGTTCAGCTTTGTATATGCGACATTTACTCATTCATTGGTCCAACAGTCAGCTCAGCCCCTCTCTGAAAGCATCCATTCTTTTTCAGTCGATCCAAGTATCCAACCAACATCAATTGGCTTATATTTAGGTAGAACCTCCACACATCGAAAAAAAAATTCCCTTCCTCAAGTGTCCTTGGCTCAAAATATGGATGTATTGCACTTTTTTCCAAATGAGGCCAATGAAAAAGTTTGTAAAAGAATACTTGTTTGTACAATTCCCAATGTGTCAGATTTAATAATATATTACAGTTCTTGGTGAAACTGACAGCAGCTGGCATCACAACAGCGTCAAAACCAATAAACTAGAAGGACACTTGGAGAGCGCCAAGGTTGTATTCTTAAACGAAATAAAAATGTGTATTACTCCGTGATTTGGATCCGCTCCAAAATTGAATGGGTTTTTCCTTGACCCAAGATGAACTCTTCCACAAAGTTTGATATAAATCGGGTTAGCTATAGATGAACTTACTTAGAGAACTTTTAGTCTGCTTTACTCAGGTCAAAACAAACAACACCATGAATGCAAAGACCAAATAAACAATAACCAGTGAATACTTAAAGGGGCCGTATATTGCTTTTTGGGGTTTCCCTTTCCTGTAGTGTGTTATATAGGATTTGTGTGCATGTAAATGGTCTGCAAAGGCTACAATCCCTGTGTTTCCTACGGAGCAAATTTCTCTTTTGGGAGTTTATTCTTTGTAGCAATCAAAGAAATCCAATAAAATAGTTTTTCTTACAGAGTAATTGTTCACTGTGCCCATTTGGAAAGTCTTTGTTACACAAGTCTTAGTCACCAAACAGGACTTCCAGCTGTGATTTTATTTTAAAAGAATGGCTTTGTTCTTGTTAGAAAGAGATGGATATTTATAACAGCTTATTATTTTAACACAATCAATATATCAACCATGTGAGGGATAAGGAGCCAAAACATAAATAAAAAACATCCAACCATCATTTAAATGCAAAGGTAAATCATCAAGTTAAATATATACATACAGCCAGGGGCGGACTGGGCCGGTACCAAAGTGGGCCGGTCGAGAGTCTCGGGCTGATTTGTAGTCCCAGTCCGCCCCTGCATACAGCTCTGGAAAACCACTCAAATGTTCTTAACTCTCAATCTCTACATGTATGGCAGCCATTCCATTCCAGTGTCTGTTGAATTCCAACACAGAGAAATGTTGTCAATAGTTTAAAGAATAAATCAAAAGACATACATTTCTCTCAAACACATACCTATAAAAAGTTAAAACAGAGAAACTAATAATGCGGCAGTGGTCTCTTAATTTGTCCAGAGCTGTATATATGTATTTATATATATTTTTTTTTTTTTCATTTTTTTTTTTTTTTTTTCATTTTTTTTTTCATTGATAAAAAATGGTAGGACCCTGCTTGGGCTCAAAATTATTTCCTGTACTGGTAACCCTTTTAGAAAAGGATCAATTTAAAGGTCCCATGTCATGCTTTTCTGGCTATTACCCGTCCCCTTGTGTGTTATGAAGGTTTTTCTGCATGTAAACGGTCTGCAGAGTCACAAACCCTCAAAATACACCCTGTAGCGAGTAAAACTCTAACACAGAAAAGACCTGTCTATGCTGCCCCAGAATGCCTCGAAGAAGCTGCTGGGAGTCCCAGCAGCTTCTTCTGAAGCCAGTCCCCAACCCGGGGACTTCCGGCCGGGGACTTCGGGTGGCAGTATACGTCGTGAAGTTGTTTGCGGCCTGCCAGTAAACCCAAAGCAGAAGAAGAAGAAGTGACATCAGCGGCTTCATTTGCATAATCGTCCCTCAGGGAAGTACTCCGGTGTGAACGCGATCTGTACTCAGTCCCCGATGGGGCACTGAGTGCCCCACACTGAGTGCCGGGCACTGAGTACTGCAAAGTATGCGGTGTGAACGCGGCTATTGACTTGCATAGAGCTCCCTGGTTGGTAATAGACGAGTTGGGATCGCGGAGTTATGCCCATTCTCACAGCGTTTATAAACCTTTTTCTTACTCAATATCAAGCTACACTTATTGTTTTTACTTCGGCTGTGAGTGTTTGTGTGTGTGCTCAGGATGAGTTTTGCGCTGTCTCGCTGTATCGCCGACCCGGAAACCACACCCGAAGCCAGCTCACTGAGCAGCGAGCCTCGCAACGTCCCGACCAATCAGAGCACACTGGGCTCACAGGAAGGGGGGGGGCCGGAGCTCCAACAAGCCGTTTAGGACAGAGAGTGAATACCTGGTGAATACACATACTATACAGAGATGCTGTATGAGAAACCAATGTGAGTTTGGAAAATTGCACAATATAAATCTATCTTAGTATACCTCAACAATGGAATTATGATCAGTAGAAATGGCCATGACATGGGACCTTTAAACAAAAAGCAAACTCTAAAACTTTACTTTTAAACAATTAAAACGCCCTTATTCTTAGTCATGTTAGACCAGAGAGTGTTTGTTATCACGTTTAATGGGACTATGCCATACAATAAAAGCTTTTGAAATGACTCAAAAGAGCTTTCTTAGGATTTTGGTGAACACATCGTTAGTTGACTGTAACTCAACATGCTTAGATCTCTCATTATCTATTCCCATCAGGTGGCACACTTTAGTCTCTATAATTAAGAAACACTAAATCAGTAAATCATTAATGTAATAATAAAAGGTCAGAATTTCAAACTTTGTCTGAGTTTGAGTCTATACGGGGAGGCGTGTGGTAAAGTGGGTTGTGCGTTGGTGTTCGGATCTGGGGAGCACAGGTTCAAACCCCACTGCAGTCAGCATGTCGTTGTGTCCCTGGGCAAGACACTTCACCCCAAATTGCTCCTGTGGGGATTGTCCACAGTATTGAGTATGTTAGTCGCTTTGGATTAAAGCAACCTACTGCATCATTGTTCAGACACAGACAAAACATCATGTTGATATTTTATTATTATTTATTATTATTAGCAGTGTTTCCCCACGTTGAGTTCAGGGTCCATCGGTCACAGAGTTCATGTTTGTCACCCAGCAGTTGTCCTGCTCTTCCTGTCTTGATTTCTTCTGTATGGAAATTGTCACGGTGGCCCTCCCTCCTTTAATCACTATCATCATGCACTAATGATGCCAGAGATGGTTCAAAGCAGTCAGTGGGGGTCGCGCCGCTGCCCCCTCCCACCCTCTGACTGTGCGGACTGATATCAGCGCTCATCAAAGGGTCCGCCAGATATTTTCTCTTAATGAAAAGATACCGATTCCCCTCATCTCCTTTTAAATGCCCTTCTGATTGTATAATTACAATGATGGTAGATTTTATAATTGTAAATGATGGCAGGTCATTTATAGTAATTTTAGCTATTATAATTATGCAGAAAGTAGATCTGTTAATTACAGATAGTTAGAGTGGATTCAGAACTGTAGCAATTGGTCCCCTTAATCATCGAGTTTGCATATGATTAGTCTTTGAAAGTTGGATGAATAGACGCAATGCACTTCGATACAATTGATTATCATTCTGGATTTCTCTCACTTTTTTACCAGAAGTGCATTTATCCCTCCTTAAATGTAATCCTTCTTTTCTCTCTTTATTTGAATACATTTAAATATTTCTGATGACTCACCTTCAACTTTGGAGAGTTTACATTATTGTATCTTATCTAATGTGATATGTATCATTGTATAAAACTCCACCTGACTGTTAGCTAGTGGTTTTCAGTCCCTAGCAGAGCAATATGCTGCTGTAGTAGGAGGTGTGTGCTCGGATTTGGGTCTGATTTATTCATTTCTTCATCATCCTCTGCCTCCTGATCTTGCAACATGTGGGAGGGAGGTGTACCGTAGGTGGGGGTCTGTATCTACACGTCCACAAAGCCACAAACACAGGACTTAAACTCAGGAGTCTCTGTTCCTGTCCTGTGTGAATTCAAAAATCAACACATTGACTAATCCTAACGAACCTAAATAAGTTGCACTGTTTAACTTAAATCACATTTGTTACATGCATAAGTAACTAAGGCTGCACAATTAATTCAAATGTAATCCAATATGGACCACTTTCCACATGTAGGAGGTACAATATTTGTTAAAGGATAAATATGTGTTAATATTGTTTTAAATTAAGTATTGTGGAACTGCTGCATAAACGAAACTCTAAAGTAACAACAACAATACTTTACGTACCCTATGTTGCATACTAAACTAACAACACATATTTAACTCACGTCACTTATGTAACATACTCAAATTACGTATGTAGTATACTTAACTATCGTAATGTACTAAGTGTTGTAGGAAACTAAATATTTTAACCCAAACTGAGATTTCTTTCTAAACCTACCCAAGTAGATATGTTTCCAAAAACTGTGAACTCTCCCATGGTCATATTCAGTTTGTGTGTTTTGGAAGTGATCTGTTCTGTCAAATAGTTATGAAGAATATTGTTTTTAAAAAAAGTGCAGTAAATCATAAATTGATTGGACTTATGTTTACACGCTCATAATGATATTGAGTCATCAAAAATATTGATAGTTTAGAGTTGATGATAGAAAACAAATAAGTAACCATACAAATAACACATACACAGGATAAGAGCTTCGAAACATTTTTTTTGTATTTCACCGTGTCTTCTACAGGAGTTTTCCAACATGTTATACTATTTATTTAAATATCCACCACATATTTGCTCTCCGTATTTATATCTCGCAGTCAATGTCTTTCTCCTGTCACAGACACAGCATAAACAGAAAGAAAATTGAAGGGAAAAAAATACAAAAAGGGTTTAAGTTTGTGGAACATAGAGGGAGAAAGAAAAAATATACAGACTGGAAAACAATGCAGATAGGAAGCAAAGATAAAGATAGAGAAAGATGAGAAACAGAGAGATATAATGAGAGAGATGGAGGGAGAGAGGCTGAGATGAATCCAGTGGCATTTTGTCCATGCATGCTGTTAACAGGCTTATAGCAAATGAGTGCATGGTGCATTATCAAGCTTCCATAGCCTGAAGTAAAGCACAGCACACAGCCATTCTTTATCAAATACACAAATACATACAGTGTACACATGCCGACTTATACTCACAAGCATTTACACCAGAAAACACATAACTACAAACACATGCTGACAGTCTCCCTCACACACACACACACAACACACACACACACACACACACACACACACACACACACACACACACACACACACACACACACACACACACACACACACACACACACACACACACACGCACACAGATGCACACTGTCATTAGTATGCTGTGGCACAACGCTGTGAGGGCAGCAGAGGAGTATGATGAATATGTTTTTGGCACAGAGCAAAGAGACAGAGGAGAGGAGGGAATCGGAAGAAAGAGCAAAGGAAGGAGAGATGGAAGAGAGGACAGGAAACGAGAGATAGTAGGAAAGAGAGATGTTTCTAATGACTTTAGAAAACTGACGGAAAAACAGAAACCCAATTACTGCTGCAGGACTGTCCTTTGTCTCTCTATCTCCCTGCATTTCTCCCCTTTTTCTCTCCGCGAGCTCACAATGACAGATCACCTTGGTCAGAGCAAAGTCGAGCTTAAGAGCTCTGTCTTTATATAAAAATACAGATGCAGCCGGGGAAAATGTCCAGCTTAAAAGGGAATAAAGGCATATCTACTAGACTCCCCAGCACTGTCGGCTAGCTGCAAGAACATTAAGTCATGTTTTCGAAAGGTACACAATAAATAATACATCAAACTTAAAGGGGCCATATGGTGATCATTTTCAGGTTCATATTTGTGTTTTTCGTTTCATCCAAACATGTTTACATGCTTTGATGTTCAAAAAAACACTTTATTTTTCTCATGTTGTCCAGCCAAATAAACATGTATTCACCTTCTGTCTGAGATACTCAGTTTGAGCGCCTGTCTCTTTAAATCCCCTCTCCAAAAAAGCCCATTCTACACTGATTTGATCTAAAAATAATATAGCGCACCTTTATAAAGGTATTTCTCTATCTGTTGGTGGAGATACTTAGATGGGTGGGTGGGTGTAGTCTAATGACCTAACATATGACATACTTTAGGAAGTTGAGACAAATCTGATTGGCTGTTTGAATCATGTGTTTCTCTCAGGGCAGCACACAAAATAACTGACTTATTTCGCGATGTGTGGTTTGGTAGGCACACGAGAGCCGTCCCTCACGAAAATTATTCACAGGAGAAAAGCTTAAACTCTACAGCTTAAGCTTTAAAGAAATGTCAATAGCTTAAGAAAATAAATATAATATCAAACATTATTCCATAGAAAACTGGTTAGTGTAGCTTGTGCTGCACACATCCGAGCACATTTTGTCACAGACTTTGATGATATGATGAATCCATCTGATCACTATCAACTTTGAACTAATGTCAACAGACTTCATGTCTTACAGCAGACATTGTGAACATGATTTTAAAATATTGCGCGAAACCTGGCATACAATCTGTATTCTTCAAGTCGGAAATTACAGAATTAAGTTAGCAGTACACTTAATTAATAATAGTTTGATAGTTGTGCAATGGAGGATTTTTTAAATACAGGACACAATTATTTAGTACAACGTTAATTAAAACAGGCTCAAATTCAGTGTTTAGAATAATAATAATTTCCTCTATTGTCTGTATACTCACCAGCTTCTGCTAACTAGATGCTATGATACAGTAAATGCATCTTGATCTTATTATTGTAGAGGTTATAAGGTAAAGCTGTGCCTTAGGTCTTAACTCAGGTTGTGTCCAGTGGTATGGGTCAGTATAATATCCAGTCAAATAAGGTCCAGTTGAGAATTTGATCCAAATACATCCAGAAAAAAAGATAAGAGGCTCTGAATGGACTTGGAAACAGAGATAACGTGTAGCAGAGGATCAGCACAAACTACAGCAATCAGGAGCGTGTGTGAAGTACAGGAAGGCATCGACAAGACAGTTCAAAAGGTCAAGAGTGGGAGAGGTGGAAAGGACATGGGGTCAAAGGCAGGTGAGTCAATAGAGAAAACTCATCTCATGTAAGAAAGAGAACATTTGTTCCTTTAGTACAGGGTTGGAATTCACAACCTAACTAGGATGACTGTTGGCTCAAAAAGATACAAAGATACGCACACAAGTGTAATATCATTTCTGTGCTCATCCAGATGGACCGGCTGTGTTCAATCACCTGGCAGCCGATGGAGAGATGCTACAATTCGGGATATAGAGTCTCTTTGTTTTGCACCAGTGAAAATCCAGATGCTGCCTTATTTCCAGCAGTGCAACCTCAGCGCAACGGTTGCATCAGAAAATGCAGGATTTTGAACCCGTTGTTCAGGTGTTAGAAATGCTTTATAAAGTGTCTTGCGCAAAGTAAAGAGACGAGCGAAGAATCCACTGTTCGGCTACGCTCGAAGACGGTGCGGGGGTGTTTGAAAACCTTGTTAAAACTGTCCCCATGTGAAACACTGAGACGTATTGCACCCACATGAGAAAAGAAGGGAGAACAGGATATGGAGATTTGACAAATGAAATATAAATCAGAGCTTGAATTTTCTTGCTTTCGGTTAAAAAAAGAAAAGAAATAGCAGCTTGCCTTCTTTGTCAGGGAACAATACTCGCAGACGTGTTGTTACCGAGGAGATTGGGTGAGTAAATACCGGTTGGGTTGTTCTTTATTTAAATCCCAGGAAAACCACCAGCTAGCTAAATATATGCACTCGTAGATCCTCACCGTAAGCCCTTGCAAGTCTCCCAAAGCCCAAGATCTGAGGAGGTCTGTTGTTCTAGCCCGCAGCTACGCATCGATCGATCAGTTAATCACTTTATTCTTAGAGAGACCCGGAGAGAATCAACGGGCCACAGGCCAGGAAGAAAAGCTCTGTTTCAGTCATTCATTTGAATCATCAGGTGTCAGTGCTCGGAGATGAATTCATGACTGATATTTGCAGGACTTTGAGTTTTGGTGTTGCAATGGATGGAGTACAACATTGACTCCGAGTTGACGGAGGGAGGGAAAGAGGATGAGTGGAGGAAAAGCTTCACTGACAAACGTAATCACCCCATTCTTTCACTGAAAGGAGGGGAAGTATGAATAGAAATGCAGGAGGGGGAACAGAGGCCGGGGTGAAGGGAGGGCAGGGAGGAAACAAGGGAAGGAGAGGATAAAGGGAATGGAGGTTTTTTTTCTCATTTTAATGACAGGAAAAGTACTCCTCTTCTCCTAGATGAATGAAGAGAGAAGATTGAGCGAAGAAAAGTGAAGGTCAGTGGAGCTTTAAGTGGGTGCAAGGGAAACGCTAGATGGTGTCTTTTAGTTGTATCGATAAGTACAGTCAGTCGCTGATTTATTCTGTAGCTTTATTCCCTGTGAGGTACCTCATATATATATATACAGTATATATACACACTGTACTATACATATTTAATTTGATCTGTTGAAAAGCCTGTATAAATCAATTATTTCTTTACTTGACTTTTTGTGAAATTCAGTCAGTTATGGTATGGTTGAATACCCCAGAAAATACAGTTAAAATACATAGACTATAACAAGGTTAAATAAACCAATGACTTGACTCACTTTAAATAGTTGTTTTGACTTAAAAATTCTAGTATTGCTTCCCCTAACCAAACATTCCCAATAAAGTATGTATCTATCTGTCTGTCCGTCTGTCTGTCTGACTGTCTGTCTGTGTGACTACTTCCTGTTTGTCTAATTCTGTTGATTTGTCTGACAAATCAACAAACCTGATATCCGTAATGTCCAAATTGACCAAACAGAATTAAGCCGTGTAATAATAACAAATAACCAAATAGCTCCGTAATATTCCGTAGATGTTTAACAGAAGTGATAAGGGTACAGTCGTAGTAATAATAGCAGAGGCTGTCATATTTGTCTCACCAGCAACATGATTTAGTATCCAGAAGATGGCATTGAAGAACATATTGCATAAGGAGTACAAATCGTTTTTTAGAAAACTGTTTAAATGCTGCAGGACGAACACTTTCCTGCTAATCCCCTGTTGTGTTTGTCGAGACCTAATACATTCAATGAAACCACCAGAGGATCAATATAAAAGCAGACCACTGTTCCATCCCTCATCCTCACTGTCAGTCATGGATTCTTCAAACGTCCTCTGAATGTGAACATGATCCGACAACACTCACACAGACATCCATCATCATGTTGATCATTCATGCAGTTGTGTCACAAACATTCATCATATTACCATATTTCATTCCTAGCAAAGACATGCTGGGAAATCCTGTAAAAAGAGCAACTCAGTCCATGCTCTGCATACTGAAGTTATTGACTTCATGTTCAATCAAAGCAATAATAAAACTCACAATTTCTGTGTATTGACAGGTGTCTGACAAGCCCAAAGCCCGAGGCACAGCCATAAGGTAAGACAAACGGCCACACTGTGTTGTAACATTGTGATTTATTGATGTCAATAGAGTGTTGCAGTCATGACTACTAGAAAAGACTAAGCAGTTCACCACTTCCGGTTCCTATGCCTTAAAGTCGACAGTTTTGTTATGTGTTTGTGGTTTGAAGCCTGAAATAAGGTCTGTGGATAACACAAGCTGAAGAGATTTGCACGTTCTGTTCTACGACATTAAATACGGCAGTAATCGCCGCACTTGTGAATGTCTAAAGCTTCTATGTGTCATATACACAGCGGTTGCTAGCAAGTGATTAAATGAATCTACCAAATGTCATCACGCTGACACGAGTCCCCCTTTAGCTTAGCGCTAGTGACGCACAGCCATGCAACCGTGATGTTGTTCATTTAAAGCCTAGCACTGGCTTTTTATTCTGGTGATGAATTTCTGCTACAAAAATGACGAAGTAGTGTATTATGTGGAGATTATCCTATGTAAATATCATAAACATGTGTTGGCCACAGAGCTTATTTCCTTCAATATACCAAATTCCAATGGGGAAATCCAATTGCTTTTTTACAGAGGGACCCATCCAATTTTTACTTCCTGGTCTGGCCTACAAAAATACTTAATGACTGCTATACTCTATGGCAGTGGTTCTCAACTGGTGGGACCCGTTTCGAGTGGGTTGCAGATGTGTGAGTGAAGAAAAAGAAATTGAAAAAAAATATTTTTCTTTTTTAAGTCAAACCTTTATTTTGAAGGCCCGATTTTTTTAACGCTGTGCATGCAGTAGGCGTTGGACTGGAAGTACCGGAGACCATAAACTGTTTTGAAAACTTCTGTCAAGTAGTGATCATCTTCTCAATAAAACATCTTTGCTGATGTTTTTTCGAGTCTTCTGGCCAATCAGAATCAAGATTGTTGCCGGAAGTCCCCACGGAGAATAACTTTGCGGTAGAACTATTCTTTATACATCCATGGGTACAACTTCAGATACAAATGAACACATAATGAAATATGACCCCTGGTTTGATGATTGACAGGTCACAGAACAATGGGGGCTATCTACCCTTACCCACAATTTAAAGTAATTCACACAGACTATCTCCTCTTTGCTCTTCTCTCTGTGTGGAGCAGCAAGTTCAGCTGTCAGAACTAAGTGAAAAACAAACAATGGCATAAAATATTATTAATATGTCGGGTAGTAATACATTTATTTATTTTCTTCTCAGAGTGTACCAGAATTAGGGATGGGAATTTGAAAGCAAATGTATATTCGAATATTCGACCCCCAAACGGTTAACCGATTAACCGAAATGTACATATCCTATAAAAAAAGAAATGTGAGAAGAAAAATTCCAAAAACATAAATAAATACATGTTCAAATAAGTATAGAAACCAAGTCGAATTTGTCAAATGTCTTGAACTGGGGATCACAGTTTGAACAGTTGACAGCTATAGGCCTACAGCTTTCATGCTTAAAACATAACTTGGTTTTCTGATGGATTTGGACATAAACGCGAGTGAAGTATAACTGGACGCGAGAGAGAGAGAGAGACCAGCACCTGCAGCTCTGCCCGCTGTGAGGGACCGGTGAGCGGAGCAAAACACACCTTTAGACCTAACACATTTAGCTATGGCACTGTCGTATACATTGAATTATTCCATTTGATAATATGTAATCAACTTAGGCACCCCTCCCAAAAAAAAACGTAATACCTTAAACTTAATACCTGAATAATTTCGAATATTCGATTAATTGTTCCCATCCCTAACCAGAATGCATAGTTTATATGTTAGTATTTCTAAAAATCTCCGGGGGAGAATCCCCCCAGATCCCCCTTCTGGGGTTGGGCTTTCAGCACGTCTGCCTTTTTATGTTATACAGTTCATCTTTGATTCTGTGAAGGTATACAAGGGATATATGCCCTGTACTTCACTTTAATTAATATTGTATGCTGAAAAGCTTATATATTACAGCACGATTTTTTTGTTGAATAGATTTGAGTGGTTCAACATTTCGGGTCGCGATTTATTGACAAAGGAAAAAGTGGGTCCCGAGGCCTGACCAGTTGAGAACCACTGCTCTATGGCATATCTATAGTGATACATCTCAAATGGAGCAGAGAGCTTCACACTTTCCACAAAGAGTGTTGGATTCAGTTTGTTTCATGTTGTTTTGGCTGTGTCTGCATGAGGACATTTAGCTTCTGTATACTGTCTGGTGGCTTCTTTGGCAGAGTGTATAAGGTCAGTGTGTGACTTTCAATATAAGGCATACAACAAACTATAAATAAATGCTCAGAAACATACAATGGAGGCAGCCGGAGTCAGTGTCGGACGATTTTTTTGTATTGGAGTGGCGCTAAGGTCAAAGACGTCTCTGTGGCTGTGGATATCACGTGTTAAATCTGAAAGATAAAGGTTGTTGTTTAGGTGTTTTGAGTGTGGATCCTAGATTGTGTCTTGGATTAGTAATGTCTGAAGGTTATTGCAAATACAGCCACTATTAAGCTTTCTGCAGGTGTAGCGGCTCTTATTCACTGAAGCATCTGTGGTGGCAGGTGCCCACTTGATAACCCCAGTCACCATCACACACACACACACACACACACACACACACACACACACACACACACACACACACACACACACACACACACACACACACACACACACACACACACACACACACACACACTCAGCTGTGTTACATTAGGTAGCAGATGTCCTCTATACCCAATATTTGTGGGTTGGTGCATAAATATCTCCAGTAGGTCTCATCTGGGATTAGGGGCGAGGCATGAGCTTCAAATATAGATCCATAACGATAGGAGGTCAGTGCGGACATTTGTATACTATAAACATAGTCTTTACACAAATTAAACTTGACGTTCGTCCATAAACACAGAGCATATGGCGGACATATGTGTAAATATAAAGAGGGTTTGTTGTTAGATACAACGTGTTGTCCTGGCTGTAATATTGGATTATAGATTTAACAACCTTCTTAGATGTATGGAAGCCCATAGGGGACTTTATTAAAATAATAGTGTTGTCTTGACACAAACATTTTTATTTAACAAAAGCATTATCATTTTCCATATTTTGGTGTTATTTGAGTTAAAATTTAAATAAAAATGTAACTTTTGTTTTAACACTAGA